CCAGCGGTGCTAGGGGAATTAAAGACACACACATAGAAATGTAGAGGTGTGGAGTGGGAAATCGGGGCTGACAGCCTTCAGAGCTGAGAGCCTCGAACAGAGATTTACCCACATATTTATTAACAGTAAGCCAGTGATAGGCATTGTTTCTATAGATTATAGATTTACTAAAAGTATTTACTAAAAGTATAAAGGGATGGGCCGAAATAAAGGGATGGGTTGGGCTAGTTATCTGCAGGAGGAGCATGTCCTTAAGGCACAGATCCCTCGTGCTATTGTTTGTGGTTTAAGAACGCCTTTAAGCGGTTTTCCGCCCTGGGTGGGCCTGGTGTTCCCTGCCCTCATTCCGGTAAACCCACAACCTTCCAGCCTGGGCTTCACGGCCGTCATGAACGTGTCACAGTGCTGCAGAGATTTTGTTTATGGCCAGTTTTGGGGCCAGTTTATGGCCAGATTTTGGGGGGCCTGCCCAGCGTCCGCCTTCCAGCTGTTACGAAGGACGTAGCTGCGAGCGTCTGTGTGTGCGTTTCTGGGGGGATGGTTTTGTTTCCGCCGGGTGTGTGCTTAAGAGGCGAATGCCGAGTCCCTGCTAAGTGTGTGCCTAACCTTTTTCAGGAGCCCCCAAAGTGTTTTCCGCAGCAGCCACACCGTTTTACATTCCCACTCCAGATTCTCGCCTTTTTCTACTTTAAAAAACTCCAGGTAGGCCGGGCGCGGTGGCTCAAGCCTGTAATCCCAGCACTTTGGGAGGCTGAGACGGGCGGATCACGAGGTCAGGAGATCGAGACCATCCTGGCTAACACCGTGAAACCCCGTCTCTACTAAAAAAAAAAAAAATACAAAAAACTAGCCGGGCGAGGTGGCAGGCGCCTGTAGTCCCAGCTACTTGGGAGGCTGAGGCAGGAGAATGGCGTAAACCTGGGAGGCGGAGCTTGCAGTGAGCTGAGATCCGGCCACTGCACTCCAGCCTGGGCGACAGACCGAGACTCCGTCTCAAAAAAAAAAACAAACAAACAAACAAACAAAAAAACTCCAGGCAGAGGGAACACAACAAGTAAAGACCAGAGGCCCAGCAGGCGGTGCTTGGCTGGAGCTCACCACGGGCTGGACCAGAAGACACGAGAGAGACGGGAGTGGAAGCTGATGCCCAGTGGTGGGTGGCAACGAGGGCTCGGGTGGCTGGGCTGTGTTGCTATGCAGAGGGAGTGGAGATGCTTGGAAATGCTTTGCAGTGGTGAGAATATGGCTTGTTGGGAGAGTGTCTGTGTATCTGGAATTACCTGAGAAGGCCTGGAGGAGTGACACCAGTGACAAGGCCATTGCAGGACACCCAGGAGGCCACGGGAGTAGTCAGGTGGGATTGCCATGAGGGCTGGAGAGAAGAGACAGTCAGAGGACACAGCCTGGGAGCATCTGCAGTCCGGGCAGGGGCGGGAGCAGCCTTCGGGGTGGTGGGTGGGAAGAAGACAAGGGCAGAAAGGGTTATCCAGGACTCAGGAGAGAAGAGGCAGGTCCTGAGTTGTTTACCAAGAATTTACATTAAAATAACACAAGCTAGGCTGGGTGTTGTCACACCTGTAATCCCAGCACTTTGGGAGGCCGAGGCAGGCGGATCATTTGAGGTGAGGAGTTTTGAGACCAGCCTGGCCAACATGGTGAAACCCTGTCTCTACTAAAAATACAAAAAATTATCCAGGCGTGGTGGCGTGTGCCTGTAATCCCAGCTACGTGGGAGGCTGAGGCACGAAACTCACTTGAATCTAGGAGGCGGAGGTTGCAGTGAGCTGAGACCACACCACTGCACTCCAGCCTGGAGGACAGAGCAAGACTCTGTCTCAAAAAAAATAAGCTATTGATGGGCTATATGTTGTTAAGCTGTAGTGTGTGGGTTATCGTGTCCAGTATAGCATTGTTCGATTAATTTATAGCCTCTTGTGGCAACAGCAAGCAGTTTCCAGAGATGAATACGCAGCTTGAGTACGCAGGGCAGATGGGGCATGACGGCTGCCTCATCTTAACGCCTCGGGCCTGATAATTTAAAAGGACTCACAGTCCTCAGATAAACATGACTTTCTTTTCTCATGAGGAAACACAGAAGGTGGCTAAAAAGTACCTGTTTCTCTCATGACACCCATCCTATCAGGTTTTTATTTCCCACACCGCCCAGTTTTCCAACTCCTTGGATGCCAGCTGGATGTCCTGGAATTCCATTCAATTCTGAGACTCACCACCTGGGTGGCAGTGCACCGTCCTCCCTCCCGGCATCTGGATGAGTTCACCACCCTGGGAGTTCCTGGAATCCCGTCATTTAGGATGGCTATGGAGGTTCCATTATGTAGGTGTGGGGCCGAGGGAGAGTTTTCCGCTCAGCCTTACAAGCGTTCGCTGAAAACTCAGCTCACAAAAGGCAGATTAACTGGAGAAAAGGCACACAGATTAATGTGTATACAAGAGAGCCTTCAGAAAAATCGCTCATTTTTATGCTTAGGTTCAATGAAGTATGGGCAGCCTTGTAGAAACAGGATTGGATGCTTAGCTGGATCCGATGCTAATGGACTGAGTGGGAAAACCCAGCCTGGCGTGTATGTCTGGATTCTCCTTGGCCCCTCTGAGCAGCGCCCTCTCCTGGGTGTGACCCTCTCTGGAATGGGGGTCTTAGGAGCTACGGCCAAGCCAGGGAGGTCAGACCATTTCTTTACGGCCAGTTTGTAGACATGGAGGCACAGGGAAAATCAGAGCCCTAATTTTTGGTTGTTTGGATGGCTTTGGGGAAAGGGGCTCTGGTTTCTAGGACCCACTGTGGGGAAGAAGGATTCCCGTTTCTGTGGCACCTTGAGTGAGGGTGGTACTGAGAGACAGAGATGGGAGAAGCTCAGAGAGAAACGTGCTTCCGAGGCTGCTGCTGAGGCCCTCATTTTGGAGTATGATCTTCTGAGCCCCAACATAGGCACCAAAAATAGCGTCCTAAGGCCCCCAGTGACTGCATGGACCCCCTCTTGGACAAGGGGACCCCAGAGAAACCTGGAAAACAGTTCCCGGCCACAATGGTTTTCATTAACAGAATAATTGGTTAAATTCTTGGCCGTCGGTAATCAGTTCCATCTCCAGCTCCTGTCCTCTCTCCCCTCTCACTTCCTGGAGGTTGGGGTGGATCTGAAAGTTCTCACCTGTAAGTCCTGCCTTGGTCTTTCTGGGAAGCAGTCCCTCCCTGAAGCTGCCCAAGGGTCACCAGCTCTGTCCTCTCGTCAGCACACGAAAGACACGCTCACCACTCAAGAGGTTCCAGGGCTCTTAGAAGCTCTGGTGTTGGGAATCTGGGACGAAGACCAAATCTATATGTTGTTATTATCACAATACTATGGCAACGGTCTGCAAACCAGGAAGAGAATCTCACCAGACGCCAGCCATGCTAGCACCCTGATGTTGGCCTTTCTGCCTCCAGGACTGAGTGAGAGAATGTTTGTGGGGTGAGCCCTGGTCTGTGGTGTGCTTTACGGGCGGGACCCCTGTGAGCCCCGAGTCAGCACTTGCTGCCTCCCTGCTCTCAGAGGCACGTGGCAGTTGCCTTTCCCTGTGGAGGGTTGGGTGAGATTGCCCTTGCACTGACAGCAACTGAAGAAGGATTGAGGGCCCTAGATCTCTGGGTGCAGGGCGCCTGGGTGAAACGACCTGCCACACATGACTGATTTTCAGCCAAAGATCACTTGTAGCTTACCAAATATGCCAGACCAAAAGCTAAAACCAAAAGTTGAGAGAGAATCTTCATTTTACAAATGGAGAAATCAGAGCATCCTAATGGTGAGCGACTTGTTTAAAAAGGAAAATTCTGTATGGCTGTGGGTCTGCAGCTGCTGTCAAAGGATTGCTTTCAGTAACTTGCCAATAATGGTGGAGCAGTTGTGCTTGCTTCCTAGTCAGAGAGCATGTCAAATAAAAGAACCCTAATTTTGGAATTTTGAGTTCAATTCCTAGCTCCTGAAAAATGATTTCAAACTTAGAAATTGGTTCCAGCAACATTATGAGTCAAGAATGAAGGTAGAATAAAGATATTTTCTGGCATTCAACCTTCCAAAACATTTGCCTGTTTAAACTTCTTTTAGAAAGTTACTTGAGGATGTGCTCCAGCAAAATGAAGGAGAAAATAAAGAGGAAGACCTGGGATCCAACAAATAGTGGATTCAACTGAGAAAAGTTGTGGAGGGAAGTCCCAGGAGGAGAGCTGCACACTGGATCCAAGAGAGTGGCACAATGGAGGCTGCACATGGGGCTCATCCTGAGGAGACTCCCTGGCATAATGGAGCACTAGGGGTGAAGGCAGATAGAAGATAGCTGGGAGACTATGAACACACATGAGCATGTATTGTGAGAAAAAAAAAGTCAAAACTATCAGGGTGGGCAAAGGGCAGGGGGAAGCTGTTGATGGAATGAAAAATAACCATCATGCTTTGTTTGGCTCAGTAATAAGCAATATTAACTTAGTCATGAAACTGTAAATACTAACTATGGACTTAACTAAAAATAGAGATATAATTATAGTGTGGATATGGTAGTAGGGGAGATGGAGCTAAAATGCCTGTCCAGCAGGAAATAAACAAATAATGTCTAAAAAATGGATAAGTCAAGCAACAAAAATAGAGGCATATGATTTTGTGATAAAACAGTCATGACCAGAAGGAACAGCTTTAACAGGGACAAGTAGTTGCTTTTGCAAAAAGAGAATTAGGACGTGGCTGGGTGGGAGGCAAGTGACTGTCAGCTCCAGGATCCACATCTGGTCCTGCTTTATTCCACAGTTCAAGTGTATTGTGTAAAGATCGATATTTTAATTAAAGTGTAATAAGGTGAGATAATTAAATAGTAAAAAAAATTAATAAATAAAACAAAGCTGCCCATTCCCGTACCTCGTTGCTCAGCTTCCCGCAGCCCCCAGGCCCCACCCCGAGGGCTTCCTGCAGGACAGAGCACATTGCAGCTGCCACAGCAGGAACTGGATGCACTGGTCAGTCACAAACCACAAAGCAGAACTGGAAGCTAGTGGAGTGGGGGAAATATTTGCAGTAAATATGACACAAAGATTAATAGCTACTTATAGATTTCACATCTATTAAGGTTCGTCTGTAAAATCACTGTGGTTGGGGTTTGGAACACAGAGACACTCACACATGAAGCAGTGTTAAATACACGGGAAAGACACAGTCGTATGTGCAGGGCACACAGGAGCAATGCAGTGGGCACGGGTCAGCACACATGGCCCAGGAGATGCAGGGAAGCCGAGCACCACTCTGCCCACTCGAATGCCCAGCTCTGCACTCGGCAGCCACGGCGAAGAGGGCAGCCTCCGAAGCGATCTGACAAAACCTAGGGGTGAATACAGGAGTTCACACCTTTGACCCACTCTCCCACCAGAAAGTCACGACAGGAGGAATGATGAGGCTCTGGGTGGCAAATGCATAACAGGAGACAATCCAAATATCCAGCAACGAGGCATTAAGTAGATCAAGGCACATCTATTTGTGGCTTATGAGTTACTGGGTGGACGTGGGGTGGACACGGGGAGCCCACTGGGCCGTAGCCCCCATCCTCCATTCCCACCACACCCCACAGCTCCCTCCTCACTGGGGTGGACCTTGTACAGTTCTACCATCCAGCAGCCATGTAAGTATCTGCCAGATTAAATTCCACATCCACTGAAGGATGAAGACAGCAGACAAGACTTTAGGCAGATTTCCCCCTCTAGCCTCTCTGTGAGCTCCATCTGCAGGCACTGCCTGTAGGGCCTGGCATACTCAGGGCCTGGCAGACTTAGGGCCCAGCACACACGGGGCACAGCACACTCAGGGCCTGGCATACACAGGGTCTGGCACACACAGGCCCAGCACACACAGGGTCCGGCACACACAGTGCCTGCCAACCACAGGCCCAGCACACGCAGAGTCCTGCACACTCAGGGCCTGGCGCATACACGGTCCAGCACACACGGTGCCCGGCACACACAGAGTCCAGCACACACAGGGTCCAGCACACTCAGGGCACAGCACACTCGGGGTCTGGCACACTCAGTGCCTGGCACAGTGGGGGCAAAACACACACAAGGCATGGCACACTCAGGATCTGGCACACTCAGGGGTTCCAGGGCTCCAGGATATTAATGCTGGTGCCTGGAGTTCTTAGGGGTGTCTGGGGGCACAGAAGAGGGGCTGGCTGGGCCTCCTGGACAGGGTGAGGGTGGGGCGTCACATTCTGTTTAGAAAATAAGGAGTGTTTTTAAAAAGCAGTAAAAACCGTAAAAGGAAACCCCTCAGGGCCACATCTTGAGGTTTACCTGGACGTGACCCTGAAAATACATGTCCGTGTCTTTCCCACGTGTTCAGTGCTGCCTCGCGTGTGAGTTTCTCTGCGTTCTCTTTGCAGCTTCGAGGGGCTGGGCCCAAGTCCTCCGTGCGGGCCCCAGAGCAGCGGCTGGGAATTCGGAGGGTGCGGAGGGCATCCTGAGACAGGGGAGATCTGGGCGGGCATCCGTGCGGGCCCCAGAGCAGCGGCTGGGAATTCGGAGGGTGCGGAGGGCATCCTGAGGCAGGGGAGATCTGGGCGGGCATCCGTGGGGGCCCCAGAGCAGCGGCTGGGAATTCGGAGGGTGCGGAGGGCATCCTGAGGCAGGGGAGATCTGGGCAGGCAGCACAGGGCCTGAGGGGGTGTTGAGCTTCACAGTGGACAAATCCTGCCAGCCTGGCACGTGGCCTCCAGCCTGGGGCCTGATGCCTGCTGGACAATGGAGGGCGGAAGAGGAAGGCCCACAGTGACACGCGGAAATTAGACAGGTTTTCCTGGTTTGAGGAAGCAGTCACGTCCGCTCCGGCAGGGGACCGCTTTGATGGAGGAGCTTGGATGCTGGTGTTTGCAGGCCAGGCTTCCGCCAAGGGCCCTTCAACCCACGCTTCGGGCCGTGGCCCCAGGGTCTGTGGGGGGTCTGCTGCTGGGGCTTCTGGTTGACTCAGGGGCTGGTGGGGACTCCTAGCAGAAGCTCCGAGGCCTCCACCTTATAACCCAATGGGTCGCAGGGCTGCGGGGCAGCTGTGGGCTGGGCTGGGCTCACACTTGGTCCTACAAGTGAAGCCACTTTGGGGGCTTCTGGGCCCAAGTCCAACCACAAGGAGGAGTGAAACTGATGCATTTCTAAATGCTTCAGCTTGGCAGCGATAAAAATATTTGGGAAATCTTTGACATTTACCGAGCACCTACTATGGACAGAGAACTCAAGAAACCCTTTCCAGGCGTTCTCCTCAATAATCCTGACCGGCCGCTGTGGGCCCTTAGGACCTTAGGCAGCCGCCCTGCTCACCCAGAGCACGGAAGAGTTGAGATCAGAACCTACTCCCCTCCCACCCTCCAAGCCTCGCTCTGCACTCCCCATCACAGGGCTGACATGGGGAACAGCTGAGGCAGCCAGATTTGGGAGGGCAGAGCTGGAGGGGTACCCTGGGCTCTTACCAGCCATGCGAGCCCAGCTCAGGAAAACATGGGGAGCCTGGCCAGGTGGCTCTGGGGCCACCATCTTGGATGACAGCTGCTCAGGGCTCTGGGTTTCCTGCCAGGAGGAAAAGGAGATCAGCTGCACCCCCATATGCTGGGACTCTCAGGGTGTCTGCGCCTTCACAGAGACCTCACGTTTCGAGTGAGGACGGGTCAAAGTGCGAAATCAGTGACCACCAGCTGGGAGCTTTGGGCATCCTGATGGTCCCACTCTGGGGAAGGGAGGGGTCCCCCAGTCTCTGCTGGCCAGTGTCGGGGTGAGGCACTGCCCCGACTGCCCCACGGAATGTCTGGGCCCCAGCAGGCAGCTGCATCCGAAGTCTCATTAGTGCCCACACCTGCCAAGAGTGACCCGTGTGCCCGCTGTGCCCAGGGTGGAATTCCACAGAGCCGCTCCCCAGCAGGCAGCTCTTCAGTCCCACTGGCTCTTATCAACTCCTGTTACTGCAGCGACTGCACCCGCCTCCTCTCTACGATGCGTAAGAACCGCCTTTCCTGTCACCCTGCGAGGCAGGGTTGTGGGGCAGAAGTAGTGGCTCTGGGGCTGGGCAGGAAGGCTTGAGCCTGGCTTGGGATCAGCCAGCTTGAGCTGGGGTGCGCTGCAGGAACAAATGGCCTCCTGCGTCTTGGGCTTCCAACAACAGCGTGTGCTTCTCACTCACGCTACAGGCCCGTGATGGTCAGCTGGAGCTCCGTTCCACGGCCTCTCAGTTCCGGGACCCAGGCTGAAGGATGCCTCTCATGGGAGGCTCTGTGGGCTGGAGGATGGGGACATGGTGGAACCATGTGATGGCCCGTGAGGCATCTGCTCAGCTAGGACATTGGCAAAAGCATCACCCAAACCTGACATCAAGGGGCCCCAGGGAGAGGCAGGAAACACTCCGAGCACGAATCTAGCCAGTCTACCCCTCGTGTGTCCTTGAGCAAGTGAGGACCTTCTCCAGACCTCGGTGCCCTCAGCCGAGATGGGCATGGCCGTGGCAGGACTACTGGGGTCTAGCAGCATTGCCAAGGCCTGGCCCGCGCCTGCTGTCTCTATGGGGCCCTCTCAGTCTGCTGAGGTCTTGGTGATGATTGATAAGCTGGACAGTACATTCCGAGCCCTGATGTGCCCTGCAGATGCAAGGGCTGTCTGTGGTCACCGTGGTTTCTGGAACCCTCTATTTTCCATTTGAATCCCACACAGCCAGCTATGGCTATGGACAAAGAGTGCAAGCTCTGAATCCGCTCCCAGCCTTGGGGCCCTCAGGGTCACTCAACTCCCAGTGCCTTACAAGGTGGGCTCCTCTGAGCGTGTGGACGGCCGCTCCACTGGGCTGAGATGCTTCCCCTGTGAGCCTGCCTGACCCCCCGACGGGCCTCCCGGGGCATGTCCTGCATGCCCCACTGGGGACCCTCCACACCGGTGACAACGTGAGGCCAGCCCTGCTGGGAGTGCCCCGGCCCTGGCATTGTGTCTCCTGGCTGTCCCTATTCTCCTGGGCAGATTTTCCAGCTATTTTCTTTTTCATTCCTGCACATCTGGGTTGACTTCACTGGCAACGCGAGGCTCCCGCTAGACATCGCATTTTGTTTTACAGTGGGAAGAAGCGTGGAATGATACCAATTTCTTGATCCACGATATATCTGGGGGCACCAAAATTCAGGCGTTTTCTCTCCTCCCCCACGTCAGAGGCAGTAACCTGTCCAGCTCCCCTCTTAGAAGCAGCAGGATCCTGAGCTGCTTCTGTGAATGTTCAAAGCTGCTTGAAATGACTTCCTACCACTGGATCTGCGCGGGGAGAGCAAGGGGCAGCAAGCCTGAAGCCTCCAGTGTGCAACTCACCCCACCGTGTAACACCTGACTGTGCAACTCACTCCAGTGCATAACTCACCCCAGTGCATAACTCACACCATCATTGTGTAACTCACCCTATCATTGTGTAACTCACCCCATCATTGTGTAACTCACCCATCATTGTGTAACTCACCCCATCATTGTGTAACTCACCCCACTGTGCAAATCACACCACTGTGTAACTCACCCCATCATTGTGTAACTTACCCCATTGTGTAACTCACCCCACTGTGTAACTCACCCCATCATTGTGTAACTTACCCCACTGTGCAAATCACACCACTGTGTAACTCACCCTATCATTGTGTAACTCACCCCATCATTGTGTAACTCACCCATCATTGTGTAACTCACCCCATCATTGTGTAACTCACCCCACTGTGCAAATCACACCACTGTGTAACTCACCCCATCATTGTGTAACTTACCCCATTGTGTAACTCACCCCACTGTGTAACTCACCCCATCATTGTGTAACTTACCCCACTGTGCAAATCACACCACTGTGTAACTCACCCTATCATTGTGTAACTCACCCCATCATTGTGTAACTCACCCCACTGTGCAAATCACACCACTGTGTAACTCACCCATCATTGTGTAACTCACCCCATCATTGTGTAACTCACCCCACTGTGCAAATCACACCACTGTGTAACTCACCCATCATTGTGTAACTCACCCCATCGTTGTGTAACTCACCCCACTGTGCAAATCACACCACTGTGTAACTCATCCCATCACTGTGTAACCCACCATTGTGTAACTCACCCCACTGTGTAACTCATCCCATCATTGTGTAACTCACCCCACTGCGCAAATCACCCCACTGTGTAACTCACCCATCATTGTGTAACTCACCCCATCATTGTGTAACTCACCCCACTGTGCAAATCACCCCACTGTGTAACTCACCCCATCATTGTGTAACTCACCCCATTGTGTAACTCACCCCATCATTGTGTAACTCACCCCATTGTGTAACTCACCCCACTGTGTAACTCACCCCATCATTGTGTAACTCACCCCATTGTGTAACTCACCCCACTGTGCAAATCACCCATCATTGTGTAACTCACCCCATCATTGTGTAACTCACCCCACCGTGTAACTCACCCCACTGTGTAACTCACCCCATCATTGTGCAAATCATCCGAGTGTGTAACTCACATCACCGTGTAACTCACCTCATCATTGTGTAACTCAACCCATCATTGTGTAACTCACCCCACCGTGTAACTCACCCCATCATTGTGTAACTCACCCCACTGTGTAACTCACCCCATCATTGTGCAAATCACCCCAGTGTGTAAGTCACCCCACCGTGTAACTCACCCCATCATTGTGTAACTCTCCCCACCGTGTAACTCACCCCATTATTGTGTAACTCACCCCACCGTGTAACTCACCTCATCATTGTGTAACTCAACCCATCGTTGTGTAACTCACCCCATTGTGTAACTCACCCCACTGTCTAATTCACCCCATTGTGTAACTCACAGAGCTTGGTCATCCTGTCTAGTGTCACTGTCCTAAAAGCACTGTCGGGTCACTGAGCCTGTGATTAGCCTGGGCTTTACCTACCCAGAACCCCTTCTGAGCGCCATGAGCACCTTTGTAGGCTCAGCTGTGAAGTTTCCAGATTCCACATGCACTTGCCCCGTCAGGGGTCAGGATGCTGCCAGAGTTGTGTTCACCTCAGGTGTGTCATCACTGTAGCTGTTTCGGTCCGTGACACGGTCTTGCAATGTTGGCGTGCACGTGGAAGCGTGCAGGGAACAGTCGGCACTGGCATCAAGGCCCCTGGATGTGGCCATCCACCCTCGATGGCCCCAGGTCCTTTCAGCCCCTCAGGGTTTATTTCCTAGGGAAACTCTTGTTTGGAACCATAACTGCAAAGAGGAAAGTCACAGAAGTTCAGTGGGATGATCCAACTTGCTTGCCAAGAACATACTGCTCCACTAAAATTCTCTTGTAGTTTCTACACCCAAAACATGGGCCAAAAATTCAGAAGCCACTGGGACAGCCTGGGAAGAACAAACCTGGCTAGGGACTTTGTCAGTCATCCCAAGTCACAAGCGCTCAGGCGTCCCGTACAGGAGAGGGGGTCTTGGCCCAGAGCTCACCCTCCTCGCTGAGGCACAGCTGGGGTATGCTTGGTCCATCGGAGCTAAGATGCTCTGCACTGTGCTTTTAAGGAGCAGGGATCCTGCCAGGGAGGACTCTTAAATGGAACCACGATAAGCAGTGATTTACGGTCAGCCCCTATACACACAGCAGATGCTGTGAGGCCTGCTGAGCTTCGGAGCAGTGCACCTGCACTCCTGCCTCCCTGTTTGACCCGACTCCAGCCTCTGTGCTCCGTGCTGCACTCCAATCCCACCAGCACCAGCAGCTGATGGCAGGGGAGACGTTCTTTCCACGATAAGGATTTGTTTCAACCAGCCATGAGTTCTTCCAGTAAACACAATTAGCACATAAAACTGCATCGCGTGGTGAAAGGAATTAGGAAAATATGCTGTGTTTACTTTGTGGTTCCAAGAACTGATATCTTTAAACCTTTGATTTGCCAAGAGCTCAAGTCATGGGCAGGAAAGGAGGGTAAACCCGCCCCGTCACTTGCAAGCGGCCGATGGATAAACAGCCGCCAGCGTCTCCTCGCAGCGCCACTCAGCTGCTGCTCCCGAGCTGTGCTTCCAAGTGCTGGGCTGTTTGGCCTCTGCCCCCACGTGGAGGCTCCTGCAGAGCACAGCTGGGCCAGGAGCTGGGTGGCTTCGTTGATGCTGTCATTGCTGTGCCTCAGTTTCCATCCACAGAAGAGGGGACCGTACAGGGCTCTTGAGCAGAACAAGATAGTTGTCATGAGACTCTGGGGGCTGCACCAAATGATGCTGGTCACTGAAAAGGAAGCAACCTGTGTTACCCGGACCGCATGACCTCCACACCGCTTTCCAGAAGGTTCGTGAATAACCCACCCCTCATTTACGTGTAATTAGGTGGAGGTATAAACAGAGCCAGCCAGCAATCTGAGGGGGCCCTTTTGCCTGTGGTTGGCCCTGCTCTGTCCGTGCAGCAGCCTTTGGCTGTGCCCCATCGCCCTAATCAATGCTTCTTCTGTCAGATTCTGTGTGAATCTCTCCTAATCACGCTTCCTCCACCATCGGCTCACGTGTGAATTATCTCCTGATCACGCTTCCTCCACCATCGGCTCACGTGTGAATTATCTCCTGATCACGCTTCCTCCACCGTCGGCTCACGTGTGAATCTCTCCTAATCAATGCCTCCTTCACTGTCGGCTCACGTGTGAATCTCCCCTGATCAACGCCTCCTCCACCGTCGGCTCATGTGTGAATTATCTCCTGATCAACGCCTCCTCCACTGTTGGCTCATGTGTGAATTATCTCCTAATCAATGCCTCCTTCACTGTCGGCTCACGTGTGAATTATCTCCTGATCAACGCCTCCTCCACCGTCGGCTCTCGTGTGAATCTCTCCTAATCAATGCCTCCTCCACAGTCGGCTCTCGTGTGAATCTCTCCTAATCAATGCCTCCTTCACTGTCGGCTCACGTGTGAATTATCTCCTAATCAATGCCTCCTCCACCGTCGGTTCACGTGTGAATCTCTCCTGAGTGAAGCCGAGAGTCCTCTTGGACAGAGGAGGTCTGCCTGCCTTGGTTTTGCTCTGCAGACCACTCGCTTTGGTTTAGAAGCTTCCTCTCTTGAGGAAGGTGATTGCCTGCTAAAGCAAAAATTGTCAACCCTTTCTGGAGAAATAGAATCCAGAGCCACTACACATAAAATTTATATTTAGGATAAAATCCAAAATTATTTGACATATGAAAACCAAGAAAAATATTACCAATCTTCAAAAGAAATGACAACTTTTAGTTTCCAACATTGAGATGGAAAGACTGTTGCAGTTACCAGACAAGTACTTTAAAACAGCTATTGTAACTGTGCTCAGCAAAGTAAAGATATGCTTATGATGAATGAAAATATAAAAAATCTAAGCAGGAAAATATAAAATATTAAACAGAACCAAATGGAATTTTAAAACTAAAAAATACAATATTTGAAATAAAAAGTTCAGGTTTAATAGAGGAAAATAGTAGTAAACTTAAAGAGATTGATGAAATGCCATATAAATTAAAGAGAGAGAAAAATGATTTAAAAAGCAGAGATCTACAATAGTTGTCATCTCTTCAAAATGTCTATAAAGTGTTTTTGTAAGCCTCATAGTAATCATAATGCAAAAACCTATAATAGATACACTAAAAATAAAAAGCAATGAATTAAAACATACTACCAGGGAAAATCACTTGACTACAAAGGCTGACAGTAACAAAGGAGAGGAGAGGAGTTACAAGACAACCAGAAAACAAGCAACACAATGGCAGTAGTAAGTCCTTCCTTATAAATAACCTCAATGGGTTGGCTCCACAGCAAAATTGAAGAAACAGTGGAAAGAATCAGTGAAACAGAAGTACAATAAAAATTACACAATCTGAACAACAGAGAGAAAATAGACTGGAAAAAAAATGAACAGAACCTCAGGGACTTGTGGGGCTATAACAAAAGATCCGAATTCATGTCATCAAAATCTCAGAAGGAGAGGAGAAAGAGGATGGAGCTGGAAAAACACCAAAAATAAAATGACTGAAAACTTAAGAAATTTGGCAAAAGACATAAACCTACAAATATGAGAGGCTGAAAAAACTCCAAACAGGTTACATTCAAAAAAATTCGTACCAAGACACATCATAGTGAAACTTCTGAAAAGTAGAGGCACAGAGAGGAATGACATTTTACCCATAGGGAAAAGCAATTCAAATGGCAACAGATTTCTCATCAAAAACCATGGAGGCTAGAAGGAAGTAGCACACAAAACTGCCAACACAAAAGTCTGTATTCAGCAAAAATAATCTTCAGGATTGAAAGGGAAAATTGAGACATTCTTAACTGAAAGAAAACTAAGAACATTTGTCACTGGCAGGTCCATCCAAAAAGAATGGCTAAAGGGGCTTCCCAACACAGAAAGAAAATGATCAAAGAGGAAAACTTTTTTCTCCTCTCAAATTTTCTAAATTATATTTGATGAAGCAAAAATTAAACCACTGTAGCTCTAAATATGAATATATCTGGAGGAGATATTTATGACAATTATATTGCAGACAGGAGATTAAAAAGACATAAAAGAGAAAAATCAAGGAAACAAATAACTTTTTCTTTAAAAAGATCAATAAAATAGACAAATCTGTAGCAAGACCGACCAAAAAGAGAGAAGGCATAAATTATCAATATTAGAAATGAACAGGGGCCATCACTAAAGACCCTGCAGACATCAAAGGATATTAAAGGAATACTGCAAACAATTCTATGTAAATATGACCACTTAGATGAAATCGACCAATTCATTAAACAAAAAACGACCCCAACACATCTAATATGAAATAGATCATTTGAATAGTTTTATAACTATTTAGAAAATGGAATTTGTAATTTAAAAATTGCCAAAAGTGAAATCTCGAGGCCCAGATGGTTTCATTGGAGAATTCTACCAAATGTGTAAAGAATTTATAATTCTACCCAATCTCCTTTAGAAAATAGAAGAGGAGAGAACACTTTCCAACTCATTTTACAAAATTAATGTTAATACCAAAACCAGGCAAAAACAATAACAAAAAAAGAAAACCATAGACCAATGTCCTTTATTAACATAAAAATCCTATTTTTTTTTTTTTTTTTGAGACGGAGTCTCACTCTGTCGCCAGGCTGGAGTGCAGTGGTGCATTCTCAGCTCACTGCAACTTCCACTTCCTGGGTTCAAGCGATTCTCCTGCCTCAGCCTCCCAAGTAGCTGGGATTACAAGCACCTGCCACCACACCCAGCTAATTTTTGTATTTTTAGTAGAGATGGGGGTTTCACCACGTTGGCCAGGCTGCTCTCGAATTCCTGACCTCAAGTGATCTGCCCAAAGTGCTGGGATGACAGATGTGAGCCACTGCACCTGGCTGAAAAAATGAACATTGATTGATATTATACACCAACATTAACTCAAAATGAATCACAGCCCTAAATGTAAAACCAAAAACTATAGAATTTCTAGGAGAAAAATCTAGAAGCAGGCAAATCTTTCTTAGCTATGACACAAAAGACCATAAACTATTAAAGAAAAACTTGGTAAATTTAGAACTTTTGCTTTGGGAAATATACCATTAAGGGAACAACAAGGCAAATCACAGAATAGAGAAAATATTTGCAATACATATATCTAAACTTGTGTCCAAATAAAATAACTCTCATGCATCAATGAGAAGGTGGCAAACGACCGGACGAAAAAGTGGGCAAATGACTTTGACAGACATAAAAGATATATGGGTGTTGAATAAGCATATCAGGAAAATGCAAATTAAAACTACAAAGAGACTCCAGTACAAATCCACTAGAAAAGGTGACATGAAAAAGACTGACCATAGCTGGTATTAGTGAGGATGTGGAGCAACCAGAAAAGCCAGCACGTGGCACGATTTTGGAAAACAGTTTGAAAGTTTCCACCTATCATATGATGCAGCCATTCCCCTTGTAGGTGTTGATCCAGGAGAAATGGAAACTTATGGTCACACAGATATTTGCACAACAGCCAAAACCTGGAAACCACCTAAATGTTCATCAACAGAAGGTGGATAATCAGAACGTAGCACATTTAATGCAAAAAAGTCAAACACACAGTGATAGCAGATCAGCGGCTCCAAGTGCGGGGCTAAGGGGCCTAGCTGCAGAGGATCCGCAGAGTCTGGAGGGAGGGCTGGGTCGTT